GGACCCCTGAGGGACACCACTCATCACCAGTCTCCATCCAGACATTGAGCTGTTGACCACTACCCTCTGGATGCGACCATCCAGCCAGTTCCTTATCCACCGAACAGTCCACCCATCAAATCCATAGCTCTGAGAGAAGGATGTTGTGGGGGACCGTGTCAAAGGCTTTGCAGAAGTCCAGATAGATGACATTCATTGGTTTTCCCTTATCCACTGTTATTGTCACACCATCATAGAAAGCCACTAGGTTCATCAGGCAGGATGAACCCCTGTATTACCCCTGCAATAGTATTAAAAGCTTGGGATATTTATCCCAAACACTCAGCTGTTTGGAAACACAGAATTAAAATCACCCATGAGAGCTAACCTGGTAAGTCAAACCACTTTGAGTATTCTGGAAAACATCAGAACTTCAATAATGTCCTGCAGTAACACACTTAACTGTGAGAAGCTACCACCAGCTACTGACAGACAAAGCTTTAAGAGCAGAATATGTGCCTTCACAGATGGGTTACATAGAGTGTGCACAAACCAGCACGACTATCGTACGCGCACCTAATTTACTTGGTGGATTCTCTCCTTCGGTCTCTAGGTCACATGGGCAGGGATGACCTGCAGGCAGGGTTTTAGCCTCCCACTGATTTTTTTTTTTTTTTTTCTAAGTACTAAAAACCTAAGAATTTGATCTAACAAAGTTTTAGCTTCTATCATGGTCACTTTTGGCCAAGTGTAAAAGGCAACTCGCCAACTGCAAAGACAAAGAAAGGAAAAGGGGCTTGAGAAGAGGAAGGAAAGAAATCAGAAGCTGCAGTGCAGCTGCAGCAAGACTGATGTGAGAAGTAGGTGGTCAGGAGGAGGGAAAACGTGCAGACAACAAATGTGCACAAGGAAGTGACTTCCGGAGCTGAAAATACAGCAAGTTGCTAGATGACATCATCTGAAAGTGCCTGCAGCAAGCCCATCTCTATCTGCTGCTGTACAGGGCCCTGGCTAACTCCAAGCAGAAAGTTTTCTTCCTCCAAATTAATTCTGTGGCTGTTTTAAAAAGAAATAGCTCCATGTTTCTAAAAAAAAACCAACAAAAAAACTAAAAACCACCCAGGACTGTTCCTGGCCCTGCACAAATGTGACCAGCAAGCCTAACCTAACTCTGAACAAAACTGTTAAAAAGTGGGTGGAAGTTCAGAAAGTGTTGCACTATTTTGTAGCAATGACAGCTGATGGAAAACAGGACAGAAAGATGGAGGTAGGCCAAGCAAAAGGGTCACTGGTACAACCCAAGGACTGTATTAAAACTGCAGCTGGTAAATAAGAGAAGAATATAATTGGGAAATAGTATTACAAGAACAGGAAATAAACAAAAAATAATTAGTCAGCCATGTCTAACCACCTGCTTCAGGGAGGTTTAAAGATACTAATAAACAGCTAACATTCTCCCCCAAAGTCCACGAACCAGTGTTGAACATTAACCTCTGGAGCACCAACATCAGCAGGCAGTTAGAGCAGTGATGGTCTCGCAAGGTCACTACGGGAAAACCCAAGCAGATGCACACAAATCCTTACTGCCCCTTCCTCCTCCATCGTCACTGTCTCACACCATTTTCTTTCAGAGGCCACTCTCTTCAAGATCTTAATTTTGGCTTCCCACTGCCCCCCTCTCACCTCTTCAACTGACAGCATCTCCCTTACCCTGCTCTGTTTCTAATGCCGTAAGTTATCTTTAATTTGGGAAGGAATAACACAAGCTAGGGGCAAAACTCATGAGCAGCAGACCAAGGCTGAACTAGGACAGGGACATAAGTCAGCAACCAAGAGAGCTGCATCGGTGGGACAAGAGATGGGATGGCACATCCTGGTCCATCCTGCCAGTCTGCTGTGTTAAATTAAAGAACCAAAGAAAAACTGTTCTGAACAAGTCTTAACAAGACTGATATATTTTACCTGAAAAGGAGGATTGCTGAAAGCAATCACATCTTTTAATTACCGTTTAATTCAAGTACCAAAGAACAGTA